GCGGGGCTTACCGAGGTGAGCAGAGGCAGCGACAGGCCGGCGCTCAGGCGCCGCAGGGCGAACGGGCGCACGCTGAGGGCGGCCATGGCCCTGCCACTCTCGGGAAACTCGAGGCGCAGCGTGACGGCGGCGTGCAGCCCCACGGCCGGGCTGTAGCGCGTGAGCTCCACGAACACGGCGCGGCTCCTGCAAGGAGGGGCATGTGCGGGGCATGTGCCGGGCACGTGCCGGGCTGGCCCGGGGCGCACGGGGCGGCGGCCCACCTGTTGTCGATCCAGCCGTGCTGCCGCAGGAAGGCCAGGCGGGCGCGGCTCTGCTCCAGGCCGGGCCCCAGCTCCTGCACGTAGCCGCCGCTGTCGTACACGGCGCAGTAGCCCCAGTACCAGGCCCTGCGGGAGGGCACCGCTTCAGTGGGGCGGCCCAGCCCTCGGGGCCCCGCCCGCCCGCTCACCCCAGCTCACCCCAGCAGGTCCGGTGCGGAGTAGGCCCACACCTCCGAGGGGGCGTGCGCGGCGCTCCCCCAGCCAACGCCGTAGTCGCTGGTGCTGAAGGCCCCCGAGGCCGGCACGCAAGGGCGGGAGGCAGGGCCGGGGGCGTCTGGGCAGAGTGCTGGAATGGGAGGCGCTGCTGCCCTGGTCCCGCCACCCTGCCACCCGCCGGCCACCGCCGCGCACCTCCGGCACGGAGAAAGGGGGTGGGGGGGTAACGCGCCTCCGGTGGGAGCTGCCCACAGGGGCCCAGCGCCCCCGGCCAGCGCGCTCGGCTCACCTTCCTGCAGCCGCACCTGCCGCAGCCGCAGGGGCCCCAGCTCCGGGCTGGACTGGTTCTCGTGCACGGAGGGGAGCAGCACGTGCGACATCCACGGCCAGAACTCGTCAGACCTGCAGGCACAGCGTCCCCTGGCCCACCCGGCTGCAGAGCCCAGCGGGCTTCCTCCCCCAGCTGCTGGGGGGGCGGCTGGCAGGACCCGCCCGGGCTGCAGCACGCCCGCAGCTCTGACACGCGGCCACCCCATGGCCACGTGAGGCTGCCCACTGTCCTCCGGGCCGAGGGGCCCTGGTGGTGTGGCCAGCACCGCCCACCCGGCCCAGTAGGCACGCGGACACAGATGGGTGTCCCTACCGGGTGATGGCCAGGAAGGCCCGGCTGTCCAGCTCCTGCTTGATGGCGCTCTGCAGGTGGTAGGCGTGGCTGTGGTGGGACGCGTCCCCGTAGTTGGCCAGCAGCGTCACCAGCAGGAAGAGCATGTACACCAGGAGGCTCTGGGGGCGGCCGGCCACGTCAGAGAGGCAACGGGCCGCCGCGAGACACCTGCCGCTGGGGGCGGCGCGGACACCCACCAGTCCCAGCGGGGGCCCACCAGGGCTACCGCCCCGCGGTCAGCAAGGCCCGAGGCAGTGCGTGGGAGGGGCGGGGCGGCTCACCCGCAGCGTCCCGTGCAGCCGCTTCACCTTCCGCGCCTCCTCCTTGGCCAGGAAGAGCGCGAAGCCGTGGGGGGGCCGCACGCGGGGCACGCGCTCGCTCACGGGCGCCACGGCCGGGCTTTCCACCAGCGTGTCGTCCTCGTCCGGGTGCAGCCGCCGCGCCACCAGGGAGAAGTACAGGGCTTCCAGCAGCACCTGCGCGGAGGGCGTCAGGGCGCGGGGCCGCCGCCGCCCCCCCCACCCGGCCGCCACTCACCTTGAGGGGCTCCCAGCCGAGGAAGGAGGCCAGGAAGCTGGAGCTGCTCGAGAGGAGCCACGTCACGCTCACGCGGGGCGGGAAACCGGCCCCGACCCAGCCCGAGACCCCCACGGCCACAGCCACCAGCAGCAAGCTGAGTCCGTGAGCCAGTGCAGCGCACCAGGCCGGCAGAAGCCGCCGCCGCATCCCCTCCACCAGCCCTGGGGGAGAGAGTCAGCTGGGGGGCGGGGCCGGGCCGAGTGGGCGGGGCCGGGGCGGGGCCAGGGCCGAGTGGGCGGGGCCAGGGCCGAGTGGGCGGGGCCGGCCCACCTCTCTTGGGGAGGGTCGCTGGCAGGGGCTGTTCCCAGCTCAGGCCCGGGCCGGGTAGCCCCTTCTGGCCCAGCCTCTGCAGCATCAGGGCCTCCGTCTTCTCTCCCGGGGTGCCACACCTGGTCACAGAGCAGGCTGTGAGACCCCCAGCCAGGTCGGGGCGCAGGTAGAGGTGGTCCCTGAACCTCGCCAGGTCTCTGTCCCCCTGGGAGAGGGCACTGCCCAGAACCAGGGTGGGTGGGCCACGGAGCCGTGGCAGCCGGCTCCCTCCCGCGTCCCGGCCACCGGGCCCTCGCCTTCGTCCTGCCCCGGCACGCAGCCGTCACCCCCCCGCTTCTACGCGCCAGCCAGCCCCGCAGAGCCAGCCGGGGCTCCACAGCAGGGCGGGCGGAGAGCACGGTGCGTGTGCTGGGCACGGCACCGGGCAGGACGAGCTCGTGCCAGGCCGCAGCAGGTGCTCAGCTTCGGTCCTGGCAGCACCACCCCTGGGCTGCGGGCATCTCCGCTGGTCACCAGGGCACACAGGGATCGGGCCCCAGGGGCAGACACAGGCAGGCGGCCACCTCGTGCAGCGGGGGGCAGGGGCTGCAGTCCAGGCCAGCAGCCTCTGGCTCCTGCCCTGCTGTGAGGGTGCGGCTGAGGAGCTGAGAATGCCGTGTGGGCACCTGCCCGGGGACCTGGGGGCGCGACACGGTCAGGCAGGGCCCTGTTGCTGGGCGGGGGTGGGGGCGCTCACAGGCCGCCGAGCAGGTCTGTGTCTCCTTGCGTGTCCTGGCTGGGGGCCGGGCTCTGCCGGGCCAGGGCTTCGTCTGGAGGGGCAGAGGTGCTGGTGGGCAGAGGGCGCTGGGCTGCCCGCCTCCCGCCCAGACCCTGGGAGTCCTCACTCACCTGAAGCAGCGAAGTACTTGGCCGGTGAAGAGGGGCTGGTGAGAGAGAGGCCCTCGTCCTCGGCCCCCTGTGCCAGCCGCTGCAGGGCGCTGCCCACGATGCACGGGTCACTGAGCAGGTCTGGCCAGCTGAGCGTGGCCTCACTGGACGGCCAGCACACCAGGCTGCGGGTGACACGGTGAGGGCCCACGGACCATGTCCACTCACGTGCAGCACCGAGGGGCGGCCTGGGGCGCCCCCAACAGCCCCAGCCCACCCTAAGCCTCGCTTTTTCTCCAGGACCCCCACCTTTTAGAGTCACCCAGAAACAAGTCGCCTGTCACTTGTCCAGCAAAGGCCTGCAGAGACACATGCGCAGAGGGCTTCAGGCTGCTGCTGCCCGAGCAGCAGGGCCCTCCCAGTCCTCTGGGCCCTGGCGGTGTCCCCACCTCGGCCTGGGGCCCCGTGGATGTGAGGAAGGAGCTGTCCAGCGCTGAGTCCAGGCGGCTGTCAGACTCCGGGACCTGCCGTCCCACAGCGCCGCGGCCCCCGGCCACCTGGAGGGAGGGGTGGTCAGGAGGAGGCAGAAGCCCTCCCCTGACGGTGCTCAGGGAGGGCTGTCCAGGGAAGGCTCTGGGTAAGGCTGCGCCCCCTGCAGCAGCCTAGCCGGGTTGGGGGCGGGGGGGCCCCTGAAGCGAGGCTGCGGACCCAGGGGCAGTCTGGACTTCATCTGGCTTCCGCTGGCTGGAACGCGCACAGGCACGTGAGGCTCCCGGGGCCCAGGCTGCCCTCTGGGAGGGCACCCCACGGCCGAGCGTGACCCGAACGCCGCGCTCTTGTTCAGACTCTCGCCTGTGGCGCCCCTCTGGCCGCGGGAGGCCCTGGGAGGCAGAACGTGCGCTCCGCTGCTTTCAGGAGTGGCCATCAGCCCCGCTGGCCGCTGCTGGCCCGCCACTGCCCGCTGCTGCGGCCACACGGGCCTCCTCCCAAGTCACCCCTGCTGCTGGCCAGCGTCCTGCTCCCCACTGAGCTCTCTGGACACCCCTTTGTCTGTGCCAGCCAGCCCTGTGGGCCCTGGACCTAGCAAAGGCTGGGCAACATGGTCGGCCGCATCAGCGGCCGGCGAGCCCCTGGTCAGGGGCGAGGCGGCGAGCGGTCCCGGCCCCACCCTGGGCTTCAGGCCGTCCCAACCCACCTTGCTCCGGGACATTCGGAAGAGGAACAGGATGACGAGATAGACCGGGTAGACCACCACGCTGGACACCAGGCCCACGGCCACTGCGTCCACGCCCGGCGGGGTCAGCCTGGACACGGGTCGGGGGCTGTGGAGGGGCGAGACAGGCGGGC